GGCGGGGATGTTGAAGGTCATAATGGTGGTGGCCAGTAATTTTCTCTTTTGATTTTTTGTATCTGATTCTCTTCCTGTGGTTCGTTTTTGTATTTGTATGTTTTTTAATTCTGTCGCTTGGTTGCTTTGAATTTTCCGACCGTGATCACTTAATGGCGAATGGCGGCCAGAGGTTGGTAGGCGTTTGTTTGAACAAGTTTTTAATTATGGCCGAGGGCCGGCATGTGTTAGTATGAGTAAGGTCGAACATAACCTTAACTTGATTATGGTCGAGGGCCGATAAGTGTTAGATCGAACAAGGTCGAACATAACCTGAATTTAATTATGGCTGAGGGCCAGTAGGTGTTAGTCCGACCAAGATCGAACATAACCTGAATTTAATTATGGCCGAGGGCCGACATGTGTTAGTTCGAGAAAGGTCGAACATAACCCGAACTTATTATGGCCGAGGGTCAGTAGGTGTTAGCTTGAACAAGGTCGAACATAATCAGAATTTAATTATGGCTGAGGGCCAGTAGGTGTTAGTCCGACCGAGGTCAAACATAATATGAATTTAGTTATGGCCGAGGGCCAGTAGGAGTTAGTTTGGAAAAGGTCGAACATAACCTAAGTTTAATTATGGCCGAGGGCCAGTAAGTGTTAGTTTGAACACTGTCGAATATAACCTAAGTTTAATTATGGCCAGGGGACAGTAGGTGTTAGTTCGAACAAGATCGAACATAACCTAAGTTTAATTATGGCCGACGGCCAGTAGGTGTTAGTTCGAACAAGGTCGAACATAACCTAGGTTTAATTATGGCAAGGGGCCAGTAGGTGTTAGTTCGAACAAGGTCGAACACAACCTAGGTTTAATTATGGTCGGGGGCCAATAGGTGTTAGTTCGAACAAGGTCGAACATAACCTAAGTTTAATTATGGTCGGGGGCAAATAGGTGTTAGTTCGAACAAGGTCGAACATAACATAAGTTTAATTATGGCCGGGGGCCAGCAGGTGTTAGTTCGATCGAGGTTGAACATAACTTGAATTTAACTATTATGTGTCGATAAGTGCAAAGTTTGTCGAAACCGTAAACTTTAAGCATTGTTGCTTTGGTCATATATTTGGAGAGAATAATAAACTTCAAGCATTGTTGCTTTGGTCATACACTTGGAAAAATTACAAATTTTCGGGCGTTGGCTGGCGTTCCAGTCCCAGTCTATCTAGTCCCTTCTTTGGTTGACCTGGAGAGTGCTCGAGAGGTCGAGCAATGAACTAACCGTCCTGGTCCCGTCTTTGCGTACTTCGACTTGAAGTGTTCCCTTCATCGCCTCATTAAAAACCTACTCGAGAAAATCCAATAGGGACAAAACTCAAGTGAGGGAAAAAAGAGTACGACTTGGGGGACGCTTTATCTCTTAAAAGTTGAAGTACTTGAGGTGGGTAATATTCCAGTTATTTGGTAGTAGCTTTCCTTCCATTGTTTCTGGTTGGAATGACCCTTTGTTCTCTCTTGCCGTGATTTTGTACGGACCTTCCCAATTTGTTCCTAGCTTGCCTTCCCGTGGGTCTTTGCCTTCTTGTGTTTTAGCTTTAAGCACGTAGTCCCCGACTTTGAGCGGCCTAACTCTTGCTTTCTTATTGTAATAGCGTTCTGCTTGCTGTTTTTGGGTGATCATTCTTACATAGGCCATGTCTCTTCGTTCTTTGACTTCATCGAGCTCCTGCCTTATGCTTTCATCGTTGCTTGTACCGCTCTCGTGGGAGTATTTTAGGCTGGGCTCTCCGACCTCGATTGGTATTACTGTCGGTCCCATAGACCAAAGAGTAAGGTGTCTCTTTTGTGCTTGTTTTCGACGTTGTTTGATAGGCCCACAGTACTTCTGGTAATATCTCCGGCCTCAGTCCCTTGGCGTCTTCAAGCTTTTTCTTCATGATGTTCAGTATCGACTTGTTGGAGGACTCTGCTTGTCCGTTGCTTACGGGATGGTACGGCGTTGAAAGTATTCTTTTGATAAGCCATTTCTCCAAAAACTCGGTGGTCCTCTTCCGCGTGAACTGGGGTCCGTTGTCGCAGCTGATCTCTTTGGGAAGACCAAACCGGCATATGATGTTTTTCCATATAAAGGCGATCACTTCTTGTTCACGTATTTGGCGAACACTCCTACTTCTGTCCATTTAGAGAAATAGTCAGTTAATACCAAAAGGAATCGTACGTTACCTCGCCCTGCCGGGAGGGGCCCACGATGTCCATTCCCTATTTGATGAACGACCAAAGTGAGGTGATCGAGTGGAGGTGTTCGCCTGCTTGGTGAATCATCGGAGCGTATTTTTGGCATTGCTCGCATTTTTTCACGAAGTTCGTGGCCTTCTTTTTTATGGTGGGTCAGTAATATCCTGCCCGTATGAGGCATCTAACCAGAGACCGATTGCCGGAAGTGAGATCCACAATGGCCCTCGTGGACCTCTTCGAGGACGCGCCGCGTCTGGTTTCGGCATAAGCATTTTGCCAGAGGGCTGCCGTAAGTTCTCTTATATAGGTCGTGGTGGATGATACTGTACCTGACTGCTTGCGTTCTCAGTTTTTTGGCTTTTTTTGTCATCGGGGATCATGTCGTCCTACAAATATGTAATAATATGATTGCGCTAGTCCCAAGTTAAGCTTACGGTTCTTACCTAGATTTGATCAAGCGATGAGTTGAGGAGGTGGACTATGTTTTTGTCTCTGGCTGCGATGCTTTTGGTGGTTGTGGCTAGTTTAGCAAGGCCGTCTGCCTCAATGTTCTGTGCTCGGGGAATTTCGCGAGCTGACATTCGTCGAACTCGGGCATCAGCTTGTAAATTTCAATCTACTATTTTTGTAACCTTTGTTCTTTGATTTGGTAAGTCCCTGTGACTTGGTTGACTACGAGTTGGGAATCGCAGCGTAATTTTAACTGTCTTGCTCCGCACTTGAGTGCTAGTCTCAAACCTGCAATTACGGCCTCATACTCGGCCTCGTAATTAGTCATATCTGGGCACCTTACGGACTGGCAAATTACTTCGCCTGTTGGGATTTCGAGTACGAGTCCAGTCCGAACCCTAATGCGTTGGATGTGCCATCGGTGTATAGGACCTAGAGGTCTTGTGTTTGGGGGAAAGTTTGAGTGGCTTCTCTTTCAACTTCAAGCATTATTTTTGCGTTGAAGTAGGCGACGAAGTCAGCGAACACTTGTGACTTTATCGCTGTTCATGGCTGACGCGTGATATCATGCTTGCTCAGCTCGATGGCCCATTTGGCCAGCTTTCCCGATAGCTCGGGTTTATGAAAAATGCTTTTTAGGGGGAAAGTCGTGACGACCAAGATGGGATGGCATTGGAAATACGGTCTAAGCTTTCACGAAGCTACAACCAAGGCTATGGTCAGTTTTTCGAGGTGAAGATACTTCATCTCGGCGTCGACTAATGTTTTGCTAATATAATAGATGGGGGATTGCGTAACTTTGTTATCTCGAACCAGGAATACGCTCACAGCTACTTCGGATACAGCGAGATAAACGAGGAGACGTTCTCCTGGCTCTAGTTTTGAAAGTAGTGGTGGTGATGACAAGTATGCTTTTAATTCTTTTAGGGCTTAGACGCACTCCGAGGTCCACTGGAGGCCGTTATCCTTCTTGAGTACGGCAAAGAATTTGTGACATGTATCCGATGATCGTGAAATGAACCTTGACAGGACGGCGATCCAACCAGTAAGCCTTTGAACCTGCTTTTTAGTGGTCAAGTGTTCCGGTATCCCTTCGATGGCTTTGATTTGGTCAAGATTGACCTCAATTCCTCTCTGTGATACTAGGAAACCTAGAAACTTTCCTGAGGCCACGCCAAATGCACACTTCTCGGGGTTCGGCTTCATTCCGTATCGCCTAAGTATGTCAGAAACTTCTCTCAGGTGGTTGATGTGATCTTCTTTCCTTCTAGACTTGACCAACATGTCATCTATATAGACTTCCATCGTTTTACCGAGTTGGTCCTTGAACATCCTTGTCACCAACCTTTGGTAAGTCGCCCCCGCGTACTTTAACCCGAAGGGCATGACCCTGTAGCAGTACGTTCCTTGATGGGTGATGAACGTGGTTTTCTCCTGATCCTCTTCTTCCATGAGGATTTTATTATAACCCGAATAGGCGTCCAAAAAGCTCAGTAGTTCGTGCCCGGCTGTTGTATCGATGAATTGGTCGATATATGGTAATGGGAACGAATCCTTAGGGCATGCTTTGTTCAACTCTGTGAAATCCACGAAGATCCGCCATTTCCCATTCTTCAACCATGACCACGTTGGCGACCCACCGAGGGTATTTCGACTCCCTGATGGAGCCATCCTCTAACAGTTTTTCTACCTCTTCACATACCGCGTCATTAATTACGGAGTTAAACTTATGTCTGACCTATCTTATTGGGGTGGAATGGGTCGACGTTCAGTTTATGTGTGGTGATTTCCTTTGGGATACTCGGCATATCTGCATGGCTGAAAGCAAACAAATATGCGTTAGTAGTTAAGAATTGACAGAATTTACCTGGTTCCTAGAGTTTGCAGTCGATGTAAGATTTCTTGCTATGGTTGTTGAGGTCTAATTGAACGAGGTCGAGGTCTTTTATGGTCGATCCTATAGCTTCGACCATATCAGGGTCTTTGATGACGTCCTCGCTATCATCACATATCGACCTCGCCCCTATTAATTGTTATGCCTCTTTTTCTTTGTCTTCCATTTGTTGAGTGATCGTGCTGTCTAAGGCGATGCGGTAGCATTCCCAGGATGTGCGTTGTTCCCCTCATATGTTGAATATTCCCCACAGGGTCAGAAACTTGATGACCTAGTATAAGCTGGGAGGGACGACTCTCATGGTGTGTATCCATGGTCGCCCTATTATGGCGTTGTATGCCGTGTCTTGGTCCATGACGTAGAACGTGGCTTCCAGAGTGACGCCACCGGCCAGAACAAGGAGTGTGATTTCACTAGATGTTCGCTCGACTGCATTATTAAAACTAGTTAGCATGATGCAGCACGCACTATCTTATCTTCGAGTTGCTTTTGTGCAAGTACTCGAGCATGGATAATGCATGTGCCGCTCCCATCATCTACCATAATGCATCTCACATCGGTATCTAAAATTCGTAAAGTAATACCAAGGGCATCAAAGTGAGGAAAAGCCAAACAGTTGGTATCTGACGTATCGGAGATGATACTCTCTTCGAGTTCGTCATACCATTCGCGGGTGATTGAACGTTTGAGCTTGTGGGTGGTGGTGAACTTCACGTTGTTGATGGAAGCATCGTCGCCGCCACCAATGATCATGTGGATGGTGCGAGTTGGTGAGGGCGGCTTTGGTGGTCCTTGGTGTTGTTCGCGTCCTCTAGCAAAGTTGGTCCTTCCCCGGTCGCTCAGCAACTCTTTGAGGTGTCCTTTTCGTAACATGTTTACGACCTCTTACCTTAGAGCAATGCAATCTTCGGTATTGTTCCCTCGTTCTTGATGGAACGCGCAGAGGGCATCTGACTTTCTGGTGCTCGGATCTGACCTCTTCTTTTGTGGCCACTTTACTTTTGGTCCGAGCTTCTCCATGGCATAGACTATTTCTATAAGTGACACACAAAAGCTGTGAGTGGATACTAAAGGGGGCATACCTCTTACATTCCGGTGAGTCCCTGTCCTTGGTCTAGGCGGGCCTTCTTCGTGGCGGGAGGAGGGTGCAATGGCTGTTTTGACATACGGTTGATGCTGTTCTCTGTTAGATCGTGGAGCTACGAGATCTCGCTTGGCATTATTTCTTCGATCTTTCCTGGATTCGGCTTGTACCGAGGTCAGTCGGTGAGTTGTTCCATTGAGGCCGTCCTCATCTGCTCGGACCTCGGCACAATATGCATTGTGTATCTCGTCCCAAGTGGTTGGAGGGTACTTCATCAGCCGACTTAATAACTTTCTTGTTGCCCTTGAACCATCTCTGGTCAGCCAGTTCTGAAGGCTGCGACCGCCATCCCTTCCGATACGTTCGGCAGGGTCATCCTTACTTAGTTGAATCGGGCGAGGAAGTCCTTTAACCCCTCTCCCGGAGACTGTTTGATATCATATATGTCGTTCACTCTTGCTTTGGCCTTCTTGGCCCCAGCATGGGCCGTTACGAACTTATCGGTCATCTCTTCAAAAGTTCCAATGGAACGCGTAGGTAGTTGTGAATACCATGTTAACGCTCCTCCTGTGAGGGTTTCACCGAATTTTTTCAATAGAATGGAAGATACGTGTTCCTTGGCGAGGTCATTGTCTTTCACAGCGGTGACTTAGTGAGTCACATGATCTTCGGGGTCGGACGTGCCATCATATATCCTAAGGTAGGGCAACATTTTAAAGGTTTTTGGTATGGCATGTGGGGCGACATCATCACTATACGGCTCCTCGACGAACCGGCCGGCATCTCTCTTCGGCAAGAGTTTAGGGGTGCCCGGTATCTTATCGACCCTTTCTTGGTGTTCTCTTATTTGGTCCCAGAGTGCTCTATTCTCATTCTCGATTTCCTGCATCCTTTTCAGAATGGCTGCAAGAGTGTTGTCGCATGCACTATTAACGACATTGTGAGTAATACCTGTCATTGGAGGAAGAGGGAGTTGGTTGTGCTGCTCATCGGTTGGTTGTATGATGCAAGTTCTTGCATTTTCTGTAGCCGTATCTCGAGCGGGCTTATGGAGGACGGTGGTGAGTGTGTCAGTTAGTCATGCCTCAAGGAGCTTTTTTAAGGCTGGGGGCGTCTCTTCCGCCACAGATGTGGAGGCTCCCTTACCGAGAGATTTTGTGATGCTGCAGTGAGGAGGAGGTGATCCATCTCGTCTAGGGGAGGCATTGGGCGTTGCGTCTCCGTCTGCTATTTCACAGCTTTCATTGATGACATTCATGAGGTTGGTTGGGAGTTCACTTATTATTCTTGTCCTTTCTTCCTTGTTTACCTGCCATATTGGGATTTGTGCACACAAAGAAAGGAGATCTTGTTCTTGTTTTTGTTTTTTACGCTAGTGATCCGTGTTAGTGATACATCTAGAAGAAACTAAAAATTTAACTAGGAAATCCCCAAAGACGGCGCCAAATTGTTTGACCAAAAAATATAATCCTTGGTTCAAATAATTGAATTTACGAGATAAGGGATTAAGCCTAGTTAACAATAATTTTTCTAGATGCAAATTTCGAAAGTATGGTCAACGATGGACAGATCTGGGAGAGATATTATAGTGATATGCAATAATTATTCCAAATAGCGTGAGCAACAATAGAACATTCAATAACAATGAATAACAATAAATGGCATTTGAGTAAATAGAAAGAGTGAGTCACCTAATAAAGGATGAACTAGGTGGTTGTCCCTCCTCACAATGATGAGTGACAGACAAATCCTTGAATGTTTGAATTATTCTCGGATCTGATGGACAGTAGGGAATAATTCGGACAAGAATCTTGATGAAAATGCACTGTTTGTTTTTCAGTAAGAGAGAGAATCTTTAGTCAAAAGTTTGTTCTTATAGATGAATCTCACGTGCCCCACATTATTGGTCCCTCTTTCAATATATATATGAAACACATTTCTAACAAACCCTAATAGTACAAACTCTAATAGTACAAACTGCAAAGAATATTCGCTAGAATATTCCCTTTAATATCTCATTTCAAAAACCAATTGTTACAGCTTCATTAGTGATGCTCGACCTCGACCATTATCTGACATCTTGACCACGGCTCCCGCTGACTCTTCGTCTACGAGTATTTCTGTTTCCTAGTCCACCTCGGCTAATGACGGCTCGAAAATTCTTCCTTCCTTATGGGGAATCTTATTTTGAATATTATTAGGGAGAAATTCAAAAATAGCCATATTTACAAGTGGTCATTCAAAATAGCCACAGTTTCAAAAGTAATCGAAATTTGGCCACTTTTTAATTAAAGATAAATCTGAACGAAAACACTGTTCAACATTCGAAAAATACTCCAGCATAATATACTGGAGTTCTAGCATAAATATACTAGAACTCCAGCATACTATAATGGAGTTCCAGCATAAGTATACTGGAACTCCAGCATATTATAATGGAGATCCAGCACAAGTATACTGGAACCTAGCATAATATACTGGATTTCCAGTATAATATACCGGTCCAGTATAATATGCTGGAAGTTCATACACTGGTGCACCGATCTCCAGTATATTATGCTGGACCGGTCCCTGTTGCAACAAAATACTGGGTATTTTTCAATGACTTTGCAAATGCTGGCTATTTTCAAATGACCAGTCCGAAAACTGGCTAGCCCGTGCTATTTTGACATATTATTATGCAGATTTCGACCCATACAAAGAACGTGTACTGATATTGACACCAAAACTAGATAAGCATGAAGTATCTCTTTAGATAAAAAGCTCTCAGTTAACCATGACTAAATTTGGAATAAGATTAAATTTTATTTCGTTTGGTGAAACACCAAGAGTGCCACAATCGTCTTTTTTCAGTATTTTTACCAATCTATAGAGACGGTGATATCCTGCTTGTATATAAGAAAATATGCCACATGAATCTGCAACAACCGGGGAACAATATGATACACGAGCAGGAGAAAAGAAAACGAGGGAATTTTATATAGTCTGGGATTTCACGATGGAAAAAAGATTCAAGCAATTAACTTGAAAAAGTGAAAACTGAAAGAAGAAGAAAAAGTCTGTTAAGCCAGTTGGTAGGTTGAGCAACATACCCTCCTAAAGTAATTGAGTTTTTGTACTATCTACAACAGGCTACAGATGACAACTCTTGGATCTTGATACCCGCTCAACATACAAAAGAAAGAAAACAACCAAAAATAAGGAGCGGAATTGAAAAATTAGGTTAAGCAGATATACGCCTACTCTACCTCCCATTTTCAAGCTCACCTAGTGTTTTATAATGGTAGATGCCACAGCATTATAAGCTTGGTTAATTTCCTCTTCCGTCATCTCAATGGTATCATCACTGTCATATGCTGCAACATCATTGGCAATGTCACCAGCTTTTCTGCTAACACGAGTACTCTGCTTTTTTATCTTCAAAAGTTCATCATCTTCTCTATTTCGGTACTCCAGCTCATAGATCTGTTTACAGGTCACAGCTTGTCTGCAAAGATCCTTGCGTGGTTTAGCTGAACTAACAGAACTACTATCAAACTTTGCCAGCTCCTCAACTGCCCAAGGGACACATGCCCACTGCTCAGTTATTTGGCGAATATCCTAAAGAGTTGACGACCAACAAGAAAAAAACAGAGATTAAATGGAGGATGAGTCGGACACATTATCAAAATCTGGAGTAATGCAACTAATGCCAAAACCTTTCAATTCAGTAATCAATTTTTTTCTTTTTTATACAACTTGAATTTTATCCGTATAACTATTCTATTACAAATCTTATAACAAAATTTCCAGCAAGTTTGTACCGGAAAATTAACATGAATACAGCTAAAATTCTGACAACATTCAAGGACCAAAACCGTGATGAAGTTTCTCCACAGGAAGCACAATATTCAAAGAATAGGCCGAGCAAATAAATCGACAACCTACCCTCCATTTCCTAGGACACACAATTCAACTTCAAATCCAAATCAAACACTTCTAGCCCTAACAATGACTGCTTACTCTTTCAAATGAACAATTAAAATTCTCTCCAATGCACAGCCTTCTTTTTATAAGGGCAACGGCACAGCCATAAAAGTTTTTCAATGGGTTCATCGCATCACCTTGGTCAATCATTATATGTTCCATGTTGAAGTTATTCACTTAATATGAAAACTGTATTCACCCATTATGCTTAATGTTCTCGCTTGATGGGACTCAAACTCCAATTAAGCACAAAAACCTATGCTCGTATGCTCAAAATCAAGTCTGCTACAAGATGTAACTGAGGTCATTTGCTCATTCAGCCTTATTTCCTAGGACACACAATTCAACTTCAAATCCAAATCAAACACTTCTAGCCGTAACAATGACTGCTTACTCTTTCAAATGAACAATTAAAATTCTCTCCAATGCACAGCCTTCTTTTTATAAGGGCAACGGCACAGCCATAAAAGTTTTTCAATGGGTTCATCGCATCACCTTGGTCAATCATTATATGTTCCATGTTGAAGTTATTCACTTAATATGAAAACTGTATTCACCCATTATGCTTAATGTTCTCGCTTGATGGGACTCAAACTCCAATTAAGCACAAAAACCTATGCTCGTATGCTCAAAATCAAGTCTGCTACAAGATGTAACTGAGGTCATTTGCTCATTCAGCTCTATGTAGCTGTGCCAGCGGTCCAACTCCTACTAACACTTGCTTGGAAACCAGCAGTCTTTTGCCATCGTTTAACACCATTCCCAGTTGCTTATCATTACGCACCCCTCTACACTGCCAACCATCACCAATACCACCCTAGTAAACCACCTATAATCCTAACGTGCCTACATGATAGCCACAACATCTAGCGTTCGCCCTGACTATACACACGACATTTGCTGGTTACCACCACCACATTTACAGGTATTTAATGTACTTGAGGTTGATGAATTGACTGCCATCACTCTCACAACCTTCCTCCATGTATTTAAGGTACTTGAGAATGAAGAATACTCTCAGAAACTTTTTTTTTTGGAAAAAGGCAACAAACTCTCAGAAACTATGTTGCTCGGACTATCCGAAAATGTCGCCGGGTGCGTGTCGGATCCTCCAAAAGTAGTGTATTTTGGAGGATCCGACACGGGTGCAGCAACATTTTGGAGAGTTTGCGCAACATAGCTCAGAAAATAAAATTTCTTGATGGCATGACAAATTACTTAATAAACAAAATTCTATCATGGAAATGCTCTTCAATAATATTGTATGGTAAAATCTAACAAATAATTAATTAGATAAAAGTTTGCAATCTAACTATTTGGTGTAGAGCGCTAACTATTTTCTTCATAAAATAACTATCAACAGCAATCTAACTATTTGGTGTAGAGCGCTAACTATTTTCTTCATAAAATAACTATCAACAGCAGTAACTAGTTTGTGTCAAACATAAAATACTACTTCATCATCCATGGCAATAACTAATATGTTCAAACAGTCCAACATTAGTAATCAACACTCCCAAACCAATTGGGTTCAGCTATAAGAACAAAGAGTCCAACATCAATGGTGCAAAATAATTTATAGCAACTGAATATGTTACCACAAAATTGGCAAGAAGGAACTCCTGAGGCAAAACTATAGCAATTTCAAATGGTGACAAGGGAAACAAATTTAACAGCAAATGGTTAAGTTGATAACAGAGTTACTATCGTCCTAGAAGCTTTTTCCGGGGTGGGGTGGGGGGTTCATATAGATTACTAAAGGATATCCAAAATGGCAAGTAAAAGACCAGCAACATAATTCTTATTCAGTATAAAACAAACATTCAATAGACAAAAAAGGTGGACAATTCTTGCAAAAAAAGATTTACCTGCCCTTGCTTAAGAGAATCTATGGCATCCTGTAAACAGGTTAGAATTCCCTCAGCAGCTATTTTCTTCATCTCACTGGGTTCTGGCTGTATCATAATCAAATTTGATGGAGTAAGAGAGCTTGTGATAAACAACTACGTACAATTATGCAGGATTAAGTATTCATTCAGACACTGGACTCTTTCTTGCAATTCCACCAATGCATTTCTCACCTTCTCTTCTCCCTGCTCCCACCCAAAAAAGAAGTAACAAAATTCTTGACCTATTCTTTGACAGAGCTCCGTTTTGTTATGTTTTATTTTTAATAAGACAGAACACAAAGCTATTTCATGCTTAAATGAAGATGACCAGTCAGATTGAGAACACTCAAGTACAAGCCAACATCTGATTCCAAAAAATTAGATACATCACTTTACCCTTTCATCTTGATTCTCCAGCCATGATATGGTTCGATTAAGATCATCTATAGCCCATTTTTTCACATTAGAAGGAGAAAACCCATCTTTTACCTCATCACAACGTACCTCCTGTCACAATAAGATAATGTGAATAACAAAAACAAGTTCTGGAGAGTTGATACATAATTTTAAATCTATATATTCGGTGAACCTGTGTAATTACAGACAAGTAAAAAATAAGTACCTCAGATGAAAGAGTAGTAGTTGTCTTAAAAGGTGAACTTTTTTCTTCTCTTTTATGAGATTTTCTAGATGTGGATGGTTTTTGATCTGCAAGGTCCAAGATGGGTCAGTTATGGAATATAGACAAATGGAAAATAGGCTAAAGAAAAATCTCTCTTCTTTCATAAACAGAGAAAAAGAAAGTTTCTATTAAAAAGAATGAAAATAAATTAGTACTTTGTCCCATGACTCCTCTGCCATCAGGTCACCAACTTCCTTGACCTTCCGGCACCGGATAGTCATCAGGCCCCATATTATTTTACGACTTTGCAGAGACCTGAATTTTGGTATGAAGTCACTCAGGCATGGTCACTGCATGAGGAGGCACCCCTTCCCCAGAAGTTTAAGGCGCTAATTTTTCTAAGTTGATTAGAGAGAGATGTCTCGGGTCCCTAGATATTCTATCCCTACCCTTGTCAATTTTAGGTACAAGTACCCTCTTGCCTAAGGTCATTTAAGCTTTTCCCCGAAGTATGGCATAGGTTTTTTCAGCACCATAGCGCCTGGGATTTGAACACTAGCTCGAGTATTTTCTCTACCCCTTCTTACCCGGAAAAACTAGGGAAGCCTTATGTACTTTAACTCGACCATCTTTTCTCATTCGAAGTTACATGTTTCTCCCTATCATTTGTATGTCGTATATAGGTAGGCAACAACAACAACAACAACAACAACAACCCGTATATAGGTAGGCCACTTAAAAATTAAGATACATTTCATTTTCTTTATCTGAATTAGCAGTAGCTTCATGTGGACCAATTGAATAACATCGCCTAAGCAAGTCTCTCAAAACAGTCCAAAATTTTGAGGATAGTCACTTGTTGGATAATAAGATATTCAAATCATGAAAAAACCATGCATGCTTGGAAGGGGATAAACAATTGGGGAGGGCAAGCAATGCATCTTGTTATCAGTTGACATCAAGCATGGATTAAAACAGCAGGAATTCCAAAAGCACGAGTGAGGAGATATATTAGGCTGTATTAGATAATTCTAAGTTTCACTTATACATTACATTTCATTTCTGAACGGGTACTTCGACATTACATGTTGATTGAATAGAGACACAAACCCCAGAGACAAATTTCATTAACCTAAAACTTAAACAATTCACTGAAGTTGGAAAATCTAGACATTAAAAAGCCACTCATGGATTAATCACTCACCATCACCATCAGGTTTTTGGTAAATTTTGTTGCAGTGTAATTTTTTTGTTAACCTTCTAATTCCAAAAGCTACAATACTGACTACCTCTCTAGACATGTATCCAGAGTACTTGTGTCAGCAAGGTGCAGACACCAAATGAGCATGCCTACTCAAAGGAAAATAGCAGCATGCTAGATTCATTTAGCAAAGCTGCAAAACAATACTTTAAAATAAAACACGAAGAAATCGTAAATAGGTAACTTTGATGTGCATGTAGATGCCTCAAAATATACATATCTGTACACACACACACACACACACACACACACACACACACACACACACATATATATATATATATATATATATATATATATATATATATATATCGTGTCTATGTGTGTTATTTATTTAGCGACTTTATACAAAGTACATTAGTTCACCGATCCTTGAGATGTTTATGAAAAGAAAGAGGGTAACCAATGACATAATGAGAAGTATCTATGCTGATTGCACCCTAATCTAAATAAGTTGATGGGCTCAATAATGGAGACACACTTTAAAAGTTAATCAAACTTTTATAGGGGGAAGGGGAAAAGGATTTAAGATATTTTTTCTCTTTCTATTTTCTTCTTGAGGGGGGGTCGAGGGGAACCATAAGTTAAGCGGATAGGGTGGACTAAGATATAGTCTCTTGCACGTAACAAGCCTCAGTCTCAAACAAGCAGGGGTCCGCTATATGAATCCTTAGTTCCTCACTAACCATATTCCCCATTTAAATTCATCTCAGGTGTCTCTTGCACTTGTCTATGCAATTTTCAGCATTAACAAATGTTCTACCCTATCTCTATTATGACTGAAACATGGGTTAGCTAGAAGTATCATTCACTATATTGAGGTTCAATGAGTCCCATCCTTGTTTAAAACACAAATAGTCTGCATGTTTGGGGTGGGGTGCGATGGGGGAGGGGAAAATAGACAAAGACAGAGAGAGGTAACCTTGGCTGGATTCATGAGAGACACTTTGACACCTCCATGGTTTGCCAGCATGCATAAGGTGGGTTTCAATTTCAACGAGTTTTCGTTCTTTATAACACTCTGTTATCCACTCCTGCACAAAACAAGCAAAAACCTTTAGACTTAGAGAGAGCATACTTTGTAGAAGAAAAATTAAATTCCAATAGTAACCCCATGTCCCCACATAAAGAAGGTACTCAATGTGAACCAATTTGAACAAAATAACACCCACAGTTAATCCCTCATTTTCATGTCATGTGGATGCCTAATACTTCCATATACAGCGCAAAGCACCCTCTGCCCAACTCGCAAAAAAAAAAAAGAAAACAAAAGATGAATAAAACAGAAGGAAGTCACAACAAAAAAGAAACAAATACTTCTATCAGGATTTTTCTCTCAAGTAAGTTATCCCTTGATATTACAGAAATACCAAAAGAGTAAGATCCACATCTAGGTCTAAAACACTCTCATGTTCATATACAGATTGAAGTATCATTTTCTGCCGAGGAAATAGCATTAATAAAATAGAAAGGACCACACAGAATAATATTTTTGAGAAGGTAACAGCATAGAAAGGATCACACGCGCGTAGAAAGCAAAAGGAAATTGGCACAAAAAAATTTCCAGGAGAACAGGAGCAAGCATATAGTTCTATTTCAAACACAATGACAAAATTGAAGCGTACAAAGCAGCATTTCTTCGTTGAAACACGTATTACTTGGTGCATCACTATCTCCTAGGACATCAGCCTCCATTCTGTCATAATGGACTTGCAGGAAATCAAGTCATTTATACACTTATAAGGAGAGAGGTAGACCTTTGATACAATTGTTCCATTATCTGCTTCAACTTGACGAAACTTTGGTGTATTGGGAAATGCACAGATCAAGAGTGTGCAACCCGAGTTCCAATCAGGTTCATACTTGGCTCCCATTTCTAAAGCATGGGACCTTAATGTACCACGCTCGGGATTGACAAAACCTGATAGCACAAATACAACCCCTTCCTGCAGCATTCAGAATATGGAATAGTGGTCAAGATTTAAATGAAAAAACAAACGAGCTCAATCAGTCAACTATTCCAAAATTAGTAGGGCCGACTATATGAAATGCTGAAGTATTAAATTCCACTCCATTCACCACATTTTGATACAAACGAAGCTAAAATTAACTAGGTTCAACTATGTGAGTCCTATATATTCATTCTGTGCTATTTAACCCATTTCATGTCAACCCCAGCTAAAATTAGTTAGTGGTCGAACAATGAGCACTCTATATTCTTTCCACTCTATCCTACCCATTTCATAACAAATGCAGCTAAAATTAGCTTGTGTCCAATATAAATCGTAGGTATTCATTCTGCTCTATTTAACCCATTTTAAAACAAACAGAACAAATCAGTACAAGTCCACTACTTGAATCCCCTATATTTATTCTTCTCCATTCGGCCAATTACATTACAAAAACAGCTAAAAATTAGTTAGTGCTGACTATATAACTCATTCCGCTCCATTTGGCCCATAACATAACAAACACAGCTACGATTTGGGAGAACTCAGAAAATTACCATAAGTTTTGAGAAATTTGAACCACTCGAAGTCGAAGTAGAAAATTTTGCTTCATTTTCGGCCTCGTTACTCTGACCTGAACCACTTGAGGCTTGTTTTGAACTCATCCATGAAGGAAGATTACGTTTCCTGCCATTCTTGTCACCGTCGTTTGTTTGGTCTTTCTTTGACGCAGACATGTTCAAACGGCACTGCTTAACGATCGATATTCACCCAATTTCAGACTAAAAGAAGTCAATTGAACATGCAAAACGCTTATTTACATTTACACTGATACAATTGCTGAAGAACATATAAATTTAGGGCATATTGCATATTCAGAAAGAGTAATCACTTTGACGATATCAGCAATTTGATTGATTTTTTAAGCATATTTACTTCATTTTATGGTACTAATATATTCTCTATAGCATCATTTAGCTTCTCTCCTACAAAAAAAAAATTAGTATTGGATTTTTAATCGTATTTATTTGATGGGTTTATCAATTGTTGCCATCATTTTATAATGTATTGTATTGTATTATATTGTATTATATTATATCATATCGTTTTATGAATATAATATTTGGATAGATTGTATTATTTGTTATTGTTAAATAATATTTTACTATATGGTTTGATTGTATCGTGCTGCACTGTAACTAAATAAGTTTACTGAAATACCCTTAATTATTTAAATATTAAATTTATCAAAAATTATACATAAAAATAATTTAAGAAAATAAAACAGAAGACGGCAAAACACCTTAAGAAAGCAGGACAAAGGAGCGAGACACAAAAAGGCAAAACAAAGGAGCACATCTAATTAGAATTGAGTTAAAAGCAAATTAGGAGAAAAAATAAAACAGAAGGCGGACACCTTTAACGTTGGCGGCAGAAGTAAAACAAACTAGGTTATAGGTTGGACAATTGGAGTTAAAATAAAAAAAAAAAAAAAGGTAAAGGGTAGAATTGTGGAGTAATAAGTAAGGGTATAATTGGAAAAAAAATAGGAAACAATCCCACCACACCAAATCGGTTGTTTCAAAAAAAGAGTCTTTTCATTGTTCCGGAACATTGAATTTAACAATACAGTACAACAAATTTTAATGAAACAATCAAAACAAACATTGTTTTGAGATAACAATACAATACGATACAATGGGAAACAACCACCCAAACAAGCTGTTAATGCTAGAGTATGTCTAAATTAGATATAGTAGAAATATATAACTAAAAAGAAATACAATAGAATTTCTAATACTCCCAACATTTCAAATTAGATGAGTTATTTCCCTTTTCAGTCTGTTCTAAAATAAATGACACATTTTTAAATTTGGAAATAATTCAACTTTAAATTCTTCATTTTATCCTTGATGAGAAACTTTTATAACCACACAAATGTCATGGCTCCATAAAACTTTTACCCTTTAAGCTTTTAAGACCACCAGTTTCAAAAGTCTTCTTCTTTTTTCTTAAATTCCGTGCCGAGTCAAACTACCTCATCTAAATTGAAACAGATGGAGTATCTAATAAGGGAGAGTTAGCAGACATCTGGACGACATGTTCGCTTACCATTTAGGGGCACTAATGTCTTTTTGGTTTAATTTGTGCTTCCTCTTGGGAGTACCATCAACCTGCGTGTTTGAACTCCATCATTTTACGTCCAACAACCTAATACTCTTTTGTGACGTCAGGTGGACATGTGAAGAACCCACGGGTTCATCCCTAGTTCATGGCACTATGACAACCAGCAATATGTTCATTTTTTCTCTCTTCGATTTAGCATTAACAACATAGTAGCTTGCTTTCTAGAGGAATCTAAATAGTCTAAATCGGTCAAATACCATATGTAGCACGTATACACACTCATCACCTTGCGTATACGGATTTTACATAACATAAATAGCACCATTTACCTAAATCCTAAGGGACACAAAGTTAGGCAAGATACTTACCTCAACTAGGCTAACTCAACCCTTGAATATATAGCTTTTCCCTTAAAACTCGCCTCTACACGACTCAAATCTAACCAAAATTGACCTAATAACATCAAGCAATCCAACAGAAATCAATTACAATAAATAAAGCTTTGATCTTTCCATATTTCCCAATAAGTCAACAAAAGTCAGCCTCGGACCCGCCCGGTCAAAACCCGGGTCCAAGGTAGATTTCGACTACTCATAATCCCACGAGTCCATATATGTGATTTATTTTCAAATCCGAGTCCATATCGACTCTCAAAACTCAATTCTTCATTTCTAAAAAAAAAAAACTTGACAAAATTTCCCAACTTTCCTCTTTGGTTCTCATAAATTTGATGATTTAATCGAAGATATAATCATGAAATATAGTTGAAAATTGATTAGAATCACTTACCCAATATTTGTGGATGAAAATCCCCTACCTAAATCGCCTCCTACCGAGTTTAGGGTTCTAAAATATGAAAAATGAGACCTAAATCCCAACTTTTCTAACTTTTGTTCAGTGCAGATGTCGCAATTGCGACACTGACAGACCAAGGGAGATCATCGCAAATGCGACAATGGGTTCGCAAATGCGAACCCTATTCTCCTGCGACCATAACCATCGTAAATACTAACTCATATACGCAACCCAGACTTCGCAATTGCGAATCATGCATCGCAATTGCGACACCTGAGACCCCCATGCTAAGTTCGCAAGCTGGTGTTCGCAATTGCAACATCAGAGCACCAGCACACCAGCAAGTTCAGTTTTAGTTCAAATCTTTCCGAATCACGCCTGAAACTCATCTAAGCCCTCGGGCTCCAAACCAAACACCACACACAAGTCTAAAAATATCATACTAACTCGCTCTCGCGATCAAAACACTAAAATAACACCTAGAACTACGAATCGGACACCAAAATGCATGAATTTCAAAGTAAAGTTCAAGACCTTCTAGAATTACAACCAAGCATCCGGATACTATCAAATCAACTCCAATTGATACCAAATTTTACAGACAAATTCTAAATAGCATAATAGACCTATTCCAAGTCTCAAAACCAAATTCCGAACTAGATAGCCAAAAGTCAACCTAAGATCAAACTTCTAAACCTCAATTGCAAATTTTTGGCAAAACAACACAAATCAACCTACGGACCTCCGAATTCGATTCCGGGCATACGCCCAACTTCAAAATCTTGGTATGGAGCTATCAGAGCCATCAAAATACCGTTCCGGGGTCATTTTTACAAAAGCTAAAGTTTGGTCAACATAATCAACTAAGGCTTTGAGGCCAAGAACCAAAGGGTCCATATCAACCTGAAACCTTCCTGGAACGAAACCAATCAACCCCGTAAGTCATAAAGCCAAAATTACACATGTGTGAAGCATCAAAAGGGGAAACAGAGCGCAAATACATAAAATGACCGGTGGATCGTTACAAATGACATCACTCATTATATGCCAAGTTTGTTAATGATTCGTTGCTTCTAATATTAGGAGGTGTAGTTTGAAAAATTAGAACAATAACGCAATTACGCTAAATAAAATAAAATAAAATAAATAAGAAGTAAAATATACAAGCAATTACATGAAATCACAAGAAGTAAAGGTAGACAAATTAAAAATAAATAATGCACAAAGAATATATATTTTAAAATTAAAAAGAAATTAAAAAAAAAATAAAAATAATGAAAATAAAATGTTATAAAGAAAATAAATTAAAACTAAAAACAAAAAGGAAAAAAAAGTAAAAAGTAACCTTGTAATTACACAGTGTAATTACCACCAATTTCCCCCTCCCCCCCCCCTCCTCAACAATTTTACACTCCAATTTCATTGTGATGTTACCACTACATACTTGTTTATCGCATATCTAATATATGTTTTGTACATAAACTATTTATAATATATCTATCCCAAATTCTAATTCCTAGGTGGTTCTCACAATACATAGCTATCATTTAGAAAACCGTTTTTTATAATTACATATTGAAACTCAATGTTTAAGTCAACATTGGGCCAAAAATCTTTATTTTATTTAATTTGGCAATTGTGTGGGTGTAACCCCTTCATCCCCCTTCTTTATTTATTTCATTTTCTTCTGTAGTTTTTTTCTTTTCCAATATATCATTTTGTTTATATAATAATTATAATTATGATTGGGATGTGTTAATATGTTCCATTAAACCTTCCTAAATGTAGTAATTCCTTCACTACTCTTCGTCTCATATATCTCCTCTATATACTATTACACTACTCTATATAATTATGGAGTTTACCGTTTTGAACGTAACATATCCTGTCACGACCCCAGTTCGCTCCTCCGCATGAACAGTGTTATCAGTTGATGGCACCTAGTGCCCTACGTCTAGGATATAAGTGTCTAAAACAATGCCCGGAATGTAACATAACTCTGTTCGAAAACAAATATATATAACTTATATAACTAAACTAGAAGGATAATGAATTTTTATAATAAAATGCCTAGCTCGGCATATAGCGCACCAAAGTGAAGGAAGTCTTTAATGCGAGAGACTCAATGTTATTGCTTCCAAATATTCGAAACTCACGGGAACACAATCATAACTGGAAAGTAATATCACGTTCGCCACTAAATACCACCTCCTTATATTAGCAACGAATCAATTAAACCAAACTTTGGCATAATATGAGCTCAAATGTCTAAAGCAAAAGTTAGAAAGGAAATGCTGAACGGTCTAAAAAGTTCTAACGAATAAGGATAAAATGACGCACATCTGCCGCTCTCGCGGCAACGCGGTCTGATTTGCTACCTTCGAAGATGTCTCTGCTATCTCTTCCGCCTCCTGAGAGTGATCCGCCTGGGATGAAGTACCTGGATCTTGCACAACATGAACAAACATCGAAAGTCCAAGAGGCATGAGACACCACAACGTACTCAGTAAGTCCAAGCCCTTAACCTCGGTTGGGTATTGACGATGGAAGTCATGGGGCCCTTACTGAGAATAACATAATAATAAATCTTGCAACAACATGAAATACAACGGAACGTAGCATTGGAGTACAGTGCTATAATGAAGTAAAGTACTATGGGTCATTTACTATATGGCAACAATTATCACTCAGAGAATAATAGACAACAGCAGAGTAATGAACAGCTCAATATCAATAGCGCTGATCCCAACGAGGATCTCCCAAGAATTACGCGTGCGTCCATAGTAGGTACATAGGTTTCATCAAGCGTGTCAGGACTTCCAGGGGAATAAAATGCGGTAGCCTCACGTCTTGGCATCATATTGCAGTTATATGGCCTCCCAGGATCTTCCGGGAATAAGCCGTCCCATATTGATCCATGAAATCTTTATACAAGTTTAGTACCACCAAAGACTGTGGGATTCTATCAGGAAGCCCTTTCTAACCCGCTAGTAAATCCAAAAAAAGGGTAAAATCAGCAGCGGGGAATCTACGGGAATCCTAGGACCAAGTAGATC